TATCAGCCATTTTTTCTGGTACACAGCCTCTGGAAATGGTCCTAGTATATCCAGTCCCCATTGGGCAAACGGGAGTGGATTAAGGATCGGCTGAAGATCCCTTGCTGGCTGGTGGATAACTGGAGCGTATTTTTGACATTTTTCGCATTTCCGGACCAGCTCCTTAGCATCTGCAATCATGGTGGGCCAGTAATATCCAGCCCTCAATGCCTTGTGGGCTAAGGTCCTTCCCCCAATGTGGTTCCCACAGATGCCGAGGTGAATCTCCCGTAGGATATAATCTGCATCTGTTGGTCCCACGCATTTCAGCAATGGGGCTGAGAAGGACTTTTTCAGAAGTTCCCCCCTGAAGACAATGAACCTTGAGCTGGTTCTCTTCATCTTGGAGGCCAAAGCTTTATCTTCGGGAGTTTCTCCCCGAAGCTTGAAAGCTAGGATGGGGTCCATCCAACCAGGCTCTGGGTCAGCGCAGCACACTTCAGGTGCTTCGTCGACACTTCTCTCTCGACGCACTTCTACATATACAGATCTGTTCAGCTCGGTAAGAGATGAACTGGCAAGTTTGGAGAGTGCATCGGCTTGAGTATTCTGTCCCCTTGGGATCAGCTGAACCTCAAAAGTTTTCAGCTCTGCAATGACTGACTTGGGCTTGAGTATTCCTCCCAAACGAGCTCTTTTGTTTTCGGGAGTTTCAGGGCTTTGAAGAAAGGTAACCCCTTATTTGAAGCTCTGGAAATGAACCTCGAGAGGGCTGCCATTCTTTCGGTGAGCCGCTGAACATCCCGCTTTGTTTTCGGCTCAGGAAGGTCGAGCGCTGCTTTGACTTTGGAGGGATTGGCATCAATCCCCCTTTTGCTGACTATGAACCCAAGGAATTTCCCTGACCTCACGCCGAAGACACACTTCTTCGGATTCAGCTTCATTTGATGCTTTCTTAAGGTGGCGAAAGTTTCAGCCAGGTCCTTAACATGGTCCTCAGGTTTTTTGCTTTTGACGATCGAATCGTCGACATAGACTTCCATATTTCGGCCCTTTTGATCGGCAAAAACTTGATCCACCAGCCTTTGATAGGTTGCCCCCGCATTTTTCAATCCGAAGGGAATCATTTTGTAATTGTACACCCCAGCGTTCGTGACGAATGTTGTCTTTGCTCGATCGTCGGGGTGCATGAAGATCTGATGATACCCCGAGAATGCGTCCATGAAACTAAGCAAGGCATGGCCACTTGTCGAATCGACTAGCTGATCGATCCTCGGCAAGGGATAGAAATCCTTCGGACAAGCCTTATTTAGGTCCGTGAAGTCAACGCACATCCTCCAGGTACCATTGGCCTTCTGAACCATCACCACATTTGCCAGCCATTCTGGATATTGGAAAGGTTCGATGAAGCCTGCCTCCAGCAATTTTTTGACCTCGGCTGCGATGTCTCGGTTCTTATTAGCGGAGTAATTCTGCTTCTTTTGCTTAACTGGTCGACACGTTGGGTCAACATTAAGCTTATGGGAGATGAGGTCTGGACTTATCCCGGGCATATCAGCTGCCGAGAAAGCAAACACATCTCTGTTGTCCCGAAGGAGCTGAATAAGTTCACAACGGGTGTTCGGATCAAGGTCCATCCCGATTGTTGCACATTTCTCAACGTCTCCTTCGGCCAACTCAACTATTTCAGTCTGTTGGTCCATGTCCATTGCTGATGGACTGGACTCTTCATAATCTGGCCTGCTGCCTATGTCAGCAGGTGTCCCAGTCTTTTTGTTCTTCGGCTGGCTCTCTGAGTCCTGCTGTTCAGCTGAAGAGCTAGCCTTTTCCCTTTCGAGCCCTTTACCTCTGGGTACAGATCCTTGGGCCGAAGCACTTAGGCCTTTCGGCTTTTTTGTGCTTGGCTCTCTTTCTTTTTCTTTCTCCTCCTCATCCTTGTCGTCATCTGGGCGACTACTGGATGACTTGAGGTAGTTGCATCTTCGGGCGTCCTTTTGGTTGCCGTGTATCCTTTCGGGGAAGCCGGCGTCTGAGACGTAAATCATCAGCTGATGATAAGTTGAGACGACCCCTTGGATCTCATGAATTATGGGTCTCCCCAAAATCACGTTGTACACTAAAGGAGCGTCAATGACCAAAAATTCAATCATGACGTTCCTGGCTGCCTCATCGCAGCCGATGGTGATAGGAAGTGTCACCTTCCCATCTGGATAAGTTGAAGCCCCGTTGAACCCGGATACCGGGTAGGGTACCGGCGTAAGGTGCTTGGGCTTCAGCTTGATTTGATTGTAGGCCTTTCGGAACAGAATGTTTGCTCCGCTGCCACCGTCAACAAGGACCTTACTGACGTCGTGGTTGGCCACCGTGGCGATGATCACCAACGGATCCTCGTGAGGGAACGTTATCCCCCGGCAGTCGGCGGCTGTGAACGTCATGTTCGGCACCAGCGATTGGGGAGACTGAATGTCAGCGTTGTTCACCTGGTGAGTCAAAGCCCTAAGGTGTCGCTTGTGCTCCCTCCGAGAGCATATTCCTCCCGAGATAACATTGATCGGAGAGAATTTCCCCTCCGGCTTTTTACTGTTCTTCCGGGGGAAGTCGAGGTCTTGCCGAGAGTCCTTTGCTGACTTCTCGGACTCTTTTTTCTCGCGGTGATCCGCGATGTATTTTTTCAAGTATCCCTTCCGGACCATGTCCTCTATCTGGTCCTTCAGTTGGATACACTCCTCAGTGTTGTGTCCCGGAGACTCGTGGAACTCGCACCACTGATTTTTATTTTTTCGCTGTACCACTCTGGGAGTGGTCTCGACTTTCAGTAACTCTGCTCCTCCTTCGTCACGCTGTAAATTTTGGCGCGTGGAAGAGAGAGCGGAGTGTAGGACTCGTATCTGCCTGTGTATGAGGCAGATTTTTCCTTCTTTGGGTCGCTGGCCGAATATTGCTCTGAGGCCTTTGACTTTCCCTTTGCCTTATGGCCTTGGCCTTCAGACAAGGGTATTTGTCTTTTTTCCATTCTTCGGCTCGGATGAACTTATCCGAGGCATTCAGAGCTTCCTCCAAGGTCTGCGGGGTATGCATGACCATGAAGTCTAGGAACTTCCCGGGCTGAAGGCCATTCTGCATTGAAAAAACGGCTAGCCCCTGGTCCAGCTGAGAGACGCTAGATGACTCGTTACTGAAACGGGTCAGATAGTCTCGGAGGCTTTCGGTTTCCCCCTGTTGCAGACTCATGAGTTCTGCAGTAGTCTTCTCTCGGCGGTTTGCCGTGGAAAACTTGCTCCTAAACTTGGAGGACAGATCATCCCACCCTGTTATGGAGCCTTGCTTTACTCCCTTGGAGATCCACGCTTGCGCGACCCCCTTGAGAGTGGTTGGGAAATATTTGCACCAAGTCGCTTCGGATCTGGGGCAAAGATGCATATGAGTCTTATACGAGGCCACGTGGTCCTTCGGATCCGAGGTCTCGTCATATGTGATGTGCGACGGTATTTTAACCGTGGGCACGTGCTCTTCCAGTATCCATTGCTCGAATGGCGAACTGGCGGGTAGCATAACGACCTTGCCCTTGTTCCTGGCCGAAGGGACCGCGCTCCGCCCTCTTAGAGAGGTAGGAGTGGTTTTCGTCCCTGGCTGGGAAGTCTGGGCCTCGGCCGCAGGGAACGAGAGGCGACTGTGCACGCTCGGTTCCTTGCCGCCGAGTCGGTCGAGGACACTTCGGCGAACAGTCTCAGGTTGTTCTCGGTGAGTAGATTCTGGCCGAGAAGGTGAGCTGCTGCTCTTATGCGTTTCTGGTCGGGAGGATGAGGATCCTTTGAAAAATTGAGGGTTCTTTTTCCTCTCTTTTTCATTTTTCCAGGTATCCTATTCCCACTCTTCCAGTTCCCGGAAGGAAGGAAGCTTCCCACCATCATGGTCTAGCTTCCTCCGCTGATGCCGGGTATGCGGAGGAGTTCGATCACGAGGTGGTGGCATATTTTGTGCCCTCATTGCCTCCATGAGCACTGCCAGCGCTCTTGCCACCTCCTCCGAGCTGGGCCCCGTCAAAGGGGTCCTCGGCCGAGTATGGGAATGAGGGCGCACAGTCGATGGTTGGCTTTGGGGCACTGAATGTGTCCTATGATCGGACTCACCCCTGCTAGACCGAGAGTGACTCGGCCTATGATGAGAGTTATGAATTACGGGAGAAAGGGAATCCTCCCTGTATGATCCTCCCCCCGAGCTGGCACCCTTGGGAGAGTTCCGGTCCGGCGAGGGTGATGGTGTAGGGGTTTTAGGCTTTTCGCCCGCTCCTTGACGGAGGTCTTTGCTCTTGCGGTTCTTAGCCATTGCTACTAAGATAATTGCAAGATGATCTTAGTAAGAAATTTGGCTTAAAGATTTTTGAAAGTCTTCCCCACAGACGGCGCCAAATTGTTTCGGGTGAAAACAATGGGACCTTGTCGAAGGTCCGATGAAGTGGAGAAGACTAGATTCGATCCAAGTAATGTTGGGCTGAAGGTTTCCTGCACAGTAAACACACGTAAACTAGCCTCGGGGGTGTTGCCGAGGAAGGTCCCTCTGATGCTAAAGTCAGTACAGTGCGTAAAGAGAGAACACTATGCAAGAGAATTAATTGTTTGAGGCTTTGCTTGAATGAATGTACAAATGTAATATTGATGGCTTTTATACCTCTGCATACATGGAGAAGTTGGGCCTTAGCCCAATTGGCTTCCCTTGAGGACTGATCTTTGACTTTAGCACAATTGGAGAGATGAACCTTGACCTTGGGCTTTTAATTGGATCATTTAATGCCTAAGCCCAATTGAACTAAATTGGACCCAAACAGTAGTAAACATTAACTGCCTTTAGTATGATTGTCATTTTGTAAATTGCTTGGAACTTGGAAGTATAATTTCTCTGGAACTTGGAAGTAACATTAACACAATTTTAATTCACTAAACAGCAGTCACCCGCACCAAACAGCAGACTTGGTTCGGTAAAATCACCTTGGGGCTGGAAGTTGGAAACCAAGAGCCCGAGAGAGAACAAAAGATAATTGTTTTATTGCATATCTTGTACAAAGTTTGAGATAACTTATCAAACAGGAGGTTTTCAGAATTCAAATACATTAGTTTTTTGGTTCAAACAACATAACTAAGTTCCAAATAACACAAACACATATAAAAGCAAGAAATGTCATCAGTTTTCCTGATGATTATTTTGAGCAACCCCTAAGATCAGAGGTGATATGTTTTCTTCATAAACCCTCCAATGCATGCATCACAACTCCCAACTAAAGCCTCCACAACACAACCATCAGTGTTTCAGAAACTCCAGGAAGAGAACACTAGTTCCAGCCATCTTCCGGTAACAGCAGCCAACTGACGAGAAAACTATGACAAGCATCAACACTGGACAACTGTCCACTTGACCAAACACAGCAGTTTTCTATGTAATTTATCAGCCATCGAGAGACAAAATCAACTGGGATATATCATGGTCAAAAGGGGAATAGATGGCGACAAAAATAATTTAGTTTGCAACAAGCCATTTTAATCACTCCTCCCACCAGAGAATCAGCAGAATCTGCATGACAAAAATGTGTGGTCAATAGCAATAAAGTTTAGTGGAGGTTTGCATTCGCTGCAAAGAGATAATAAATATTGAAGGCAGTCAAGTATGAAATTCCAAAACAGAAGGTTGGGAAGTGAAATGAAGCAAGGGCATATCTATAATTTAGGGTAGCTTCAAAGTCAACCTGGTATGAACTGAAGCACTCGAAAAACAAAACCACAATGAAAGAACATAAAATTATGTCGATGGTAGTATTAAAGGAGTTTACTCACAAGTTTGGCAGTTAGTCCTCGCTGGACACCTTACACCACTCATCACCTCGTACACCAAAAAACAGTGAGAACAGTACATAGCTGGGGCTGTGCACTTGGCAAAATAATGCAGGACAGGATTTCATCATATTCAATCTCCGGGCCTTGAAAAGAAGGAAATGACAGTCAGCAATTCAGCATGTATGGTTTAGGTCAATGCCAAAGGACCATCACTTTGCAATGACTTATACTCACCATCCACATCGCAAAACACCACCAAAGTGATCTCACACACGATACTGACCAGTCCAGGGGGATTGTCCTTGGTACTGCTCTGGCTGAGGAGTGAACTGATGATTCCCAGTCATAGCATGCTGTTCAAGCAACTTGTGTTCATGGTTGTGATTTAGATTTCGGAAAGGCTGGTAATCTGGATAGTTTTTTCGGGTTCCCCCCTTGAAACTGAGCAGCAGAAGCTTGCATTCCAGGAAATGGCAAGCCGGTATTTCCATTTGAGCTATTCATATTAGTTAAGAACTGGGAGTTGGCATGTAAAACATTATTACTAGCATGATTGGGCCCTATATTACTTGCTGAGGGTGGCATGTGATAACCATCCAACCAGCTATAATCGTCAACTACTAAAGACCCATTACTCCCAGGCACACCAGACATAGGCATGCTAACATGTTTCGGAGGAACAGGACTAAAACCAGGTGGAGGCCCAAGATGCCTAACAGGACGGCCCACTTGACTTCTAAAAGCTGCTGAAGAGAAAGATGGTGGCTTTACAGACATGTTATCAGTAGAGACTTCAGGAAATGCAGAATAATCCATCTTGGATGAGTTTATAACTTCTGGAGCTCTTCTGTAATCTGAGTAGATAGCAGTATCCATAAAACTGGCAGATGGTTGGGGAGGCAAATGTGAACCAGCACCCAGGATACCCAAACTTCCTTTCAATTCAGAATTTGATACATGGCCATTTTCCATGAACTTCAATCTGTTTATGCCATCTGCTAGAGAAGCTTGCTGTTCAACGAGCCATCGTGAATCACGCAAATCCCTCACGGGATAACTTTGTGCAGCAACATTGCCAGATGGCGGAATACGTTCTGACGTAGCCTGTTGATAGTGCACGCTGGATACAGGTGGGGTACTCCTTCCCTGCTTTAATTCCTCATTAAAGATCCAAGTTGGTCCAGTAACATCCATCTGCTTCTCAACAAGTGCTGGCTTGAAAACAATTTCTTCATCGTCGTCATCTCCTTCGCCTAATTGCTGAATGTTCTCCTTCATTGTCGTAGAATTAACAGATGACATTGTAACCACTTGCTCAGTTGAAGGTGATTCAGTTAACCCCATATTGGAACTCGGCATGCTATTGTCAGATACTTGCAGTTGAACTCCAATAACAAATTGTTTCACCTTTGAATCATAGGACACAGACTTGTGATCAACCGTTGCTACACTAACCAAGGCTCTGCCTGCAGCAATGATTCTTTTTACTCGAGTTCGTTTTTCCTTACTACTACCACCAACACTGATTAACTGCTTTCTTGAAAAATCTAGAATACTATGTGCAGGAAGAATGGGCAAAAACCCCCTCAACTCAAAATCCTCTGACAAAGCAAGTCGACTTTCAGTCTCCCCTTCATCATACCTGGTCATGTTAGTAAAACAAGTTTCATCCCCATCATCATCGGCTGCAACTAGATGACTGGAGAGAAGCTTATTAAGCAAAGCTATGAAATGCTTCCAGAATGATGATCTAGCAGCAGTTGGTTTTTTCTCATTGGTGGTGCAAGCTGCGAATTCTGGATAACACGCTAACCACTCGAGAAATACTAGAATGCTAGGTAGAAGGAAACTAGATGAAGGATCGTGAAGTTGTACAGATCTCTCGACAATAAGACTCATAAGTTCAAAAGTAACCGTACGAGCATTATCGCATAGAAGATTATGCTGTAAGATTTCAGCATAAGAGTGACCTTCATTCTTCTTACTCACATTATAAACTGTGAATATGAGGATAGCCACAAGTCTCAAAATGGCAAGCCCATTCTCCATACCATCTCTACCAAAATTCAATTCTTCCTCTGCTCCAGAAGAAAGAAGCTCATGAAATACTCTGCTTACTGAAGAAAGAACAGCAGCAAATGTCTCCATGCTGAAAGAAGCGATTAAAAATTAGATGATACTATAATGATTGCTTGTCGTACCTTATATATGCAAAATTAAGTACCTAGTACGAGTGAACAAAATGCCATGAAGCCGGACAAACTGGGTACAGAATTCCTTATATTTCTCCTTGACACTAAATTCTCTGTCCCCATTGGTCTTTGTTGTCTCAATCAGCTGATTATAGTTTTGACGATTCTGTAATAATCCCAAAAATTATATCAGAAACAAACTCTATTAGAATCATTCAACCAGCTAACATGGACTAATAAATTTACCCCCACCTCAATGCTTAAAATGAATTAAATTGTGATGATAGACAGTACTTGGCTTATTCCTTATCAAGGAAACCAAAAAACAAAATAGTAAAAATCTCATCAAAATGAGGAAGTTCAAAGAACATGAAAACATCTTGGAAGGCATTTCAAGAGACGGATCATGAGATTCATAACATACAAATCCTTGAAGTAATGACAACATTATATATGACAGGAGGATACTTATCCACTGTTTTAAACAAACATCCAAGTGAAACCCAGCACAGAGCAGAGAAAATAAATCAAGCAAAAGCACCTCACTCCTCAAGCTTGACCAAATACATCCAATGAGAGGAATGAGAACTCAAATTAAAGCACCATATGTTTACATGTAGTATGTGACTATGTGAGTGGATTTATTTTTGTACCTTTTCAAATGCAATAACCAAATTGTCTTTTGCAGTTGGAAAAGGGATCTCAGCAGCCAAACTTCTAAAATATCGGTATACAGCCACCAGTTCATCACTTGAGTAAGTAGACAATATTGCAAGCTGACAAGACAAACCATTGACCCAGGATAAATAATTTAAAAAATCAAACAAAAATCTATACAATATCAAGAAAAAATTTACTATCAAAGAAATAAGAATAATAGAACCAACAATCATATAGATAAGATGATAAACCTGGTGATGTGGATTGCCGTTGGATGGCCAAAGAGACGCAGCTTGCAGATAGTAACTTGAAGCTGCAGAAAACTCACGAACTCTAGATTCACCCTCCCCATACACACCTTTGTAACGTGCAAGATCACCAAGATATATGAGACTACGATGACAAGAAACTAGTGCTTTCTTTACATCAGATGACTTAGCAGTGTCAGTTCCCATAACAGTATCACTGTCTGAATCTTCAGTAAAATGCCCTAAAGGGAGACCATACTTCGCTCTAATTTTAAGAATCAAGTCATGATAGAAGCCAGTAGCCTCAGATAGGAAGGCCTTAAACTGAACACGGATTTTTGTTATTCTGTCTTGTACTTGAGGAGCTCTCCCGCTGTTAGTTGCAGATGATCGTACAGAAGCTTGAGCAGCACTGAAGTGTCCTCTAAATTCCTCAATTCGCTTGTAATGAAGTTGCCATAGGGAAAATTCAATATTATGCTGTTCAGAAAAGGCATGATCTTCAAGAATTATTGCCTCGTAGTTCTCTCGTATCTGATACCAAGCATTAGGATCAGATGGAATCTTAGCCTGGAGTGACTTCTGCCGCTTCTTTTCCAACTCAATGTTCTACACGAAATGAATTTTCAGAGTCCACAAGGGAATATAATAAACAGCAATGTGAAAAGTATCTGACATAAGACTTCATGTCCGATTACAAAAGCATTAACAGACAAAAAAAGGAGTGCATGTACAATAATAAGCTCACGGTTAGCAATTATCTGACAATGAAGAGAAGCACAACAGCAAAGCATTGAACAGGGAAGGACATAAAAACCTACCTTGTTATATAACTGCAGAGCACGTTCTTTTGATGCTGAATTAGGTGTCTTTTCCATCTGAACAACCATCAATAATGACTATCTCGATTTCACTCAACATTAACCCTGATCATAAAATTTAAACAAACCCATCACAAACATCTCAACAAAGCCTTTGAGAATGGGGGTGCTGAACCTCTACAACAAATAACCAAATTGAATTGCCAATAGAGCAGATATCTGGTGCCTTAAAAAGCTCGGAAAACTGCAAACAATTTCCAACAAGTCTAAGCTATTGGACTTTGATTCAGCAAGACATTGAAAAGGGTCCTATTGAACTAACAAACTAACAGTATCAATCCAAGCCGAGATTAAAGCCAACTCTGAATTTGCAATTACCTCCCCAAACCCCCCAAAATCATGAAAATGCTGGCAACTCAGCATACTTGGAAGCCCTAGAATAAGACAATTACATATCAATCTAAATTACCAACAAGGCCAACATTTTTACAACCCGGGGCAATTCATCATCATATTCAATACTAATCAGCTCGGAATTTCGTTAAACGACTTCAAAATCAATACCCACAACCTACTAAACCCTATCAGGCTTCAAAACCCAGATTGCATAACACCTCCATTAAATGATCGCAAGTTCAATCTCATAGCCCAAACTTATAGTAGCGACTAATCCGACATGCCAGCGCCACAGCAGATAGAACCCCATATACATTAAGCAAACTAAAAAGATATTTTAGAACCTCAACAAGTCAAAATTGATGATAATGCTAATTTTAACAAACATGAAACAAAAACCCCAACATAAGCGAGATATTAAAAAATCAAGTCTTGACATAAAGTAAAGGAACCGATCAACCCAAAATTGATTTCAAAGCAAAAATCAACACTCTCATCAATATAATGTAAACCCACATAAGAATTCATAAAATCCAGAAAAGGGCTCAATCCAAAAAACAAAATTAATTAAAAAAAAAAAACCCGATTGTTAGGGAAATTAATTGACAATTGGGAACCCAACAACTCCAGGAAAAAAAAAATCAAATAGCGGAAAAAACCAACAATGTCAATGAAAAATAACAAAGACCCATCAAATAATTGGACAATCAGAAATTAAAAACAAGAAATTGAAGAAGATAAGAGTAGAATGACTTACCCCCCAAGAAGGAGGAAGAGTGGTGAGAGACAGAATGGAAGGTGAAGTAGAGAGAGAAAAGGGTAGAAAATGTATTGGTGGGTCAATCTTAGAGAGAGAAAATAATGTGAGAGATTTGGGGGAAAAAGACGCAGAGCCTCAGGTCTCACAAAACCTTAAGAGACGGAAGATACCACGTTTTGTAAGAATTTTCCAAATAATTACTCTATCAAAAGTTACTCCCCGTTTATAAAAATTGACCCATTATTTTTGCTAACGTAAAATAAGATAAAAATATTTTTTTTTTGAAAACCAAATAAGATTAAAAATATCATATAAGTGTTTTGACATAGATTTTGATACGAAGTACTACCTCCGTTTTTTTTTATGTGCAACTTTGGCACATAAAACGGTTCACGAGGCAAAAGATTGAAGGGCAAAGATTAAGAAAGTATAATGGTGATTAATATATTATAAGAGTATGTAATTAAGGTGGAGAGAGAATGTTTGAATAATTAATCAAACCACCCATTGCCACCACCAAGACCAACCACCACCGCCGCCGCCTTCACCACCACCACTGTCGGCTTCACCACCACCGCCACTGGCTTCACCACCACCACTACCACCCCCACAAAACCACCACCACAACCGACCCCACGAAACCACCACCACCCTCACGTCTTTCCTTCTTTTTTCCGGCAGCCCCCTCCCTAACCAAAAAACCCAGATCTAACCCAGACCACCTAGACCCACATCTAACCCAGACTACCCCACCACCTAGACCCACATCTAACCTAGACCACCCCACCACCTACGCCACCAAGACCCAACCCTAACCCAGACCACCCCACCACCCAAACCCACCTCTAACCCAGAAAATCGAAACCCAGAAAATCAAAATCAAAACCCTGAAAATCAAAATCAAAATCAAAACCCTGAAAATCAAAATCAAAGATGAAAGAGAGAAAGCCGGTGGTCATAGGGAGCAACAATTGGGCCGGAATCATCACCGGTATCCGAGAACCCACCACCGCCGGCGCCGTGAACAAACTTGCAGGCGTTACCATTCGAAAAAGGGTCGTTCAAGAGACCCAGTTTTCGTTCAAGAATTCGGGTCTTTCATTGATGGGTTCGGGTTTGGATTCGTGTTTCTGGGTTTTGTCGATGAGAGGGAGGAAACGACGGTGGCGGAAATGGTGGTGGTGGAGAGGGCGGAGATCGGCGGAGACGACGATGAAATGGGGGTTGTTGGGGAGGTCGGAGTTAGGGTTTTGAGGGAGGAAAGAGGAGTAGGTGGAAACGATGAGGGTGTTGCAGGGGTGGAAAAGGAGGTCGGGGCGGGTTGAGACGACCGAGAGGATGGTGGAGATCAGGAGGAGAGAGAAAATGGAGGTCACCGACGATGACGCCATTGAAGGAGAAGTGAAGAGAGGAGAGAGAAAATGGCAGATTTGGGGGAATTTGGGATTTCTGAGGTGATGAAGAAATTGGGAATGAATTTCTGAGGGGAGGTAGTCTTGGAGAAGGTACAATTAGGTTAATGATTTTAGATTAGATAAAAAAGTTATTGTGATTAAAATAAGATAAGGATAGCATTAAGAAAATCTGAATTTTTAAGTAAGGGTAAGTTTGTAATTTTCAGGGTTTTTATTTACCAAAAATAGAATGAAAAAGGAAAGTTGCACATAATAGTGAACGGACTAAAATGGCAAAAGTTGCACATAAAAAAAAACGGAGGTAGTATATAGCTGTCAAAAGCTAACCCGATTCGAAAAATTTATCCGAATCCGATTATTAGCCGTTCCAAACCCGATAAGATGTATGACCCGACTCAAACATGACCTAACCCGAATCTAACCCGCATAGGTTACGACATTAACCCAAATTGAATTGACTCGACCCGAGCTGACCTAACCCACACTAACCCGACCCATTTACCCGAATTGAAAGCTCTAAGTATGAGGTTTCATAATATCAATTTGCTCTTTTTTTTTTATAAATTTTAATAATGTTTAATTATTTATGTCTAAGGTCAAAATAGTGCATCAGAGGTTATTGATGGTTGAAATACATGATCAATTCATATACTCGATCAAATTCATTAGTACTACATTGAACTAATATAAAAATATCATCTTACTAGACCCTGACATTACCTCGACGCTTATGATTTTCTTGGTTTAGTATTTGTAGGTCAGACACTTTAAGAGTGAGGGGGGAAGGGTAAAGAATTCCCACCCTCAAAGTACCTCTAGTGGAGATTGAACCCCCAAGCTCAAGGACTCAAGGTAGGAAGGTGCAATCTTTCTCATTAAGCTTGGTATCTTACTCCACTAATGAAGTAATGAGTGATGATACTGGAGAAATTATATCTCAAATACATACGGAGTAGTGTATTTCTATAATACATATATTGTTCTTAAATTAATTAATGATATCTCATGTCAAACTACCTAATTTTAAAATAATTATATGTTTATTGTATGATGATTTATATCAATAATTTGTGTAACAATTCGGAATTCTGCCAAGAAGTTTATCCCAAAATTCAATCAATAAATCCGAGCATTGCCTCACACAAAACTAGTTTATTAAAAAGTAAAAAAATGCAAGAAGAGATAACTATATAAATGTAAGAGACTAAGAGTAGGTAATTATTTTTTAAAGAGGACATTTAAAAGGTAGTTTTTACCAAAAATAAATAAATAAAAATTCTAGCATAAAAAATGATTAATGAAGAGAGGGTTTTTATTTTTTTCAAGGGAAGAGATAGATTGATGTTTCATATAATTGGAGGAAAAGCTCAATGAATTTCAAACAAAGTCACAGAGAAACGCCTTACCAACCTATTATTCTTAAAATTAAAGAGACAACAAATCATTTGGAAACCTAAATGAGATACAAAAACTCTCAATCTTAGCAAAATTGCAAACAAGGTTTTCAGAGTAGGGTATAACTTGAGTCACTTGATGATGTTTTCAGGAGACTTGAACATAAAATTGAGCTCCTACAACTCTGATTTATGTTGTCAAACTGTTGATATTGATTGTGCTGCAGTTGCGTCTGCATTGGAGTGATCATAAGCTGGGTTCTGTAGAATTTTGTACGTAACTAGAATGGAGGGAGTACAAAACTACCAATGAACTTGAAATTATATTACTCCGTAGTATATATGAAAATAATGATAGTGTATTTACAGTACGGGAAATCATTTCCTCGATTAGCTACAAGCCTACAACAAACGATGCAACATCCACCTTCAGATGCAGATAACTACCATAATCTAGTGACTCTAGGCTGAGACCTCTCAAACAGTTCAACAGACCAAAACAAAAGTTTGCAATGCTTTAGTATGTACAGAACGTAATGGACAACACCACAATTATAAACAAACTTAACTACGAAATTTGATGTATGATTGTTCATTCCATCTTCATATTTGTCCGCCAACTCCATCCTTTCCACCTTATATTGCTCAGCCATCCAAATTGAAGCAAAGGTTGTCCTGATCCAAGCTTCACAAGATATGTTCTGTAAGGAATGAGTATGTTCCTGAGACCTGCCAGTAAAATCACCAGCAATTATATCAAGAATAGGTCAACAATCAACGATTAAAAGAAAAGGCTTAGAAAATATAAACACGAAGTACCTTGTGTGCACATTGTTCTATAAACATGAGCAACGTGCTTATTCCCCTTAGTGTGCACTTGAGTCTTCTCTAAACACTCCAGAAAAGCTAGATCAGCTTCCAGCAGCTTTGCTTGGTCATGAGTGTCATAGCCTATATCATGACAATAACAACAATAATCCAACCAATCTATAGGGCGCTTGTCCCAAACATGGGAGCCTCCGTCCTTCCCACTCGACCAATTTGGCCCACAGTAATGACCATATCTTGGAAAGAACTGAGATAAGAAAGCCCGAGGTCCAGTATGCCAAGGAACCTTAGACACATAAGGCCTAAACCGTAATTGAGGGGATTGAGAAGCAGTTGACATATCACCAGCTCTAGATCTTGCTCGTCTTTTCAACCCTTTATTAATAGTAGTTGGCATAGGCAATTTATCTCTAAGATTGACAGCCCAAGGGATGATCGAAAGAAGAGACCATCCAAAGAAGTTAAAATCAATTGAAGGCCAATTCTTAGGCGACTCTGTAACTATTAGTGGTGGCTTCAATGTTTGCTCCATCTCACTATTCTTTCTGGGAATTTGATCAGGAAACTTGAAGCTCATCACTACAAAAAAGGATAAGCTAACCTTGAGGCGAAAAATGTCCTTAACACCAGATCAAAGAATTCCCCTGTCATTTCATACATAATACCATACTGTCAATAAAACCTTGTATTCACCCACACTCTTCTGAACACAAGGTCCACTTCTACCTCAGAATCTTCATTCACACCATATTATTTGTCTTGCTGTATGTTAAGTGTTAACCTTAAACATAAACTAAGTCATACTACACTCGATCACACCAAATTAGACCATATTCAAAATGTCGAAAATTACTTGTGAACATGACATATAACCTCTTACACAGTTACACCTCTTCAAATTATACCAAAATTATACAAAATTCATGAGAATATACCTCAAACTATGGACTTTCATAAAGCATGCCAAGAAAGATACACTTAAATACTCATCTTCTACTCTTAATTCTTAAGAGAAGCATCAATGAAAATTTTGCCAAAAATCTCTTAATTTACATCTAAAATTCCAGAGAGATAACATGCATACAAATGGATAGTTTATAAATTCAATAAATTCATCATCTTCAAAAACCCAAAAACCTCACATAAAGAAACCCACTTCAATTATTCATCAATTCTCACCTAATTTCTAAAAATCAACTACTGGGTTATTGAAAAAATTGATTGGAAAAAAAAAAACCCAATTAATCCTCTTATTTTTCTCTTGAATTACCAAAACCACATAATTCAAATCCTAGAAGGGATGTAAACCCCAAATTTCAAAAGCATTCATTCAATAATTCCCAGGAAATTTACAGCAAAATTAACATTAAAAATACGCGAAATCATATAACTCAAAATATAAAAATGGAAGAAACTTACATGGGTAATTGGGTACTCAAAATGATCATAGAAATCGGAATCAAAAGAGCAACCAAAATCAGCGAGAATGTTCGAGAGGAGAGAGAAAGCGACAATCAAAGGAAGAAGTAAGTGTTGTTGAGTGGCGTGTTAATTTCCTGGCTTAGAAAAGAGAGAAAATTGGAAAAATATGGGAATTTCGTTTTCAAAGGATTAAATGGTGGATATTCGATTTCATTCAATCTTCAATTTTCCAATTACAAATTGAATTTGCAGATCATACGCCGCTTTTTATTGGGCATTGCGGTTTGTTTTTATGTTGCTTAACATTTTGTACCACTTCATTTTTGTAATATTGTACTCCGCATTGACCGTATATATGTATTGCATTATCGAGTACGGAGTATTTAAGTGGTCAATGTAGTTACACAAATTCTCGTATGAACTCGAGATGATATTCTTGGTTGTACCATGTACAGTAGTACTGTACACATGGTAAGCTTTGGGTTTCGGATATTTATAGATTGTGTTTGGATGGAATATATTTATGTAGGCTTGTAACGCACATTTAGTTGCAATCTCCGTAAATGCTTATTATTGATGCATCATTGAAGAGGCAAATTAGATGATTTTTTGAAGATTTAATTTCAATTAGGTTGTGAGAATAAGATGCCCATTTAAAAATGTTGCTTATTAAAGCAATTATTAGCCGACCGAGTACCCGGTCGAAATTTTAGGAACCCAATTTGAAATTGGTTGGGACCGGATCCTAAAATTCAAAACCGGAATTGGAATTGGTTCAACTGGGTCCTAAAATTTAAGAATTGGAATTGGAATCACCGGGTACCCACTTATGTATGTAATTGTTAAAATATAATACAAGCTTTTATTAAAGCCAAGAACAAATAAATTCATGCTAACCAGAGTTCGCACAAGGCGATCAAACTACAGTACCAAAGATTGACAAGTACTTCTATACTTCAAATTACTTTGATTACATGAAGATAAAAGATACACGGACATAATTATATACAGAATAATAGCATACTAGTATAAAGAGGACCACACAATGAAGAGTTGCATACAACAAATTGTAAGAGAACCATTCTACAATACATACTAAAATACTAGATACATCACTCAAGGTCTATTTTTTTTCCCTCTTTTTTTGAGTCATTTTTCCATACTTTGATACAAAACAATGATATACATACAATACAAGCTACCATTCTACATAGTTTAGAATCAAAAAGAGAAGGGGAGAAAAGAAAGAGATAATATCCTTATCTGCGATTCCACGGCCAAAAACTAAAGAACACAAAACTCTCTAAATCAAAGAAAGAGCAAAAGCAGAGATCATTTGAGTAGAGCACAAAAAAATTACAGGAGAACTATATGCAATCAGTAAAAGGATGTACAAATAATAAACACCAGGGTTATCTCTTCGAATTTTCAAGCTGAGCATGTGGACAGTCAGCTCCATGACGGCGAAGATGGTCTGTACAAATAGTCTTGGGAGTTCGCCACCCCATAATTCAAATCCAGGTTGTGAAGCTGCTCCATCAGTTGAGATCGCCGCTCCTTGAAAAAGTCAAGCCGGGTTGTTAACTCTACTAATGTTGATGATGCTGCTGATGGATGTCGGGGAAAATCCAATACCTGCAAGTTTAACAAGTGCGATTAAATTAATGTCAGCAAAGTCTAGCTGATAAAGGGTCAGGCCGGAAAATTTAAGAAGCATAAAAGCGAAAGAGAATCAGAGGTACAACAGAAGCCTTACCTCCGGTATTCTTGAAGTGGATGGCATAGAAGCAGCAGAATCAACACCACCAAATTCATCAAAAGACATGTTGGCAGATGTTTCAGTGCTTTTTGAATCACTTAAACTAGTCGGTTCTAGAAACTGCTTGCGAGGCTGCCGGCTACTGCTCCCAGCAGCTGATATTTGTCCCTTGACGTGATTCCACTCTGACGGCAGCGATCCCTCCTGAAGCATAACATTGCAAGACACTTATTGACAAGGTGGAAATAAGTTCTCTGCCAACAGTGTGGAATCAAAACCGAACAAGTACTGGGATTGTCCCATAGGGCTATTTGTGTTCACTCCTTAAGGAGGGACAGAAGCTACAGAGCAGAGAAAACACAATCTGCAAGCTTTGAGAGTGTTTTTTCTCACATTTATTCAAAAGCACTATACCAAACATATGGTGTGATGACCATACTGTTGTAAAAGAAAAGGCTAGTGCAATTAATTAAATCCATTTCAATTCTACCATATAAAGACCTAGATCCAACTATCTGTCTGCTTTACCAGCCATCGCTGAAGGTAAGGCCAATATTGTAAAGGAAGAAGTGTAACCAAGGGTGAAAAAATCAACATAAAAAAAAGGGAAGATTTAAGAAACATAAAAGCGAAATAGACGAACAAAAACAAAGAAGGAATAAGATCTTTAAAGGTTCCTAAAAACTAGCAAAGGATCATGTCAGGGAGAATATACCTCACATCGTTGTTTCCTTTCATGATTACAGAAAGCAAGGGTACTATCAAAGTCTTGCTGAAGAAATCTCCTGCACATAGCATGATTACAGTAAGACTTCTCGCTTTTAGATCAGGAAGGAATTGACAGTAAGTCAAATTACACAGCATACAAGTAATTAATAAATCAGACTCTCAATCAATGGGGTAATTAGTTTAACAACAGACCTTCACCAGACTCACTAGATATAAATATGCTCCATCCTTTTCTTTTGTGCCCCTCCAACCCTATACTCCTAACCCCAGAATTTAGAAACACAAATGTTGACAAAGGTCTAATTTGACCATAAACGCAAACTTAGAGGTGAAACCAGCATCCGAAATGACCATTCTCTCTGATGGAAGAAACGGAACTAGAAGGAAAGCAGCAAGCAGTCTAGTTGACACATCATACGAATTCATACAACTTTGGTTGGAATCAGATCGTATGGTTCTCAAGCAGAAACCTTGAAGTTTGTCATACTATCATTGAATAGAACTAGTCAAAATTCCTTGCCTGTTACAACCCACTAATTGCTTAAGCTTTGAGACCAGAACCCTAATGTTTGGCATATGGGACTCAACCAGCTTCATCAATTTTATATACTAAACCCAGCTTATATATGAGTGATGAATCCATTTCACTGTTAAACCATATTATCATGAGCATAGAATCAACTGAATGGTAATTAAAACACAATTAGCACTGCATATGCTCAAAGCAAGAATGAACAATAAGCAATCAATGAAGCAAAAACAAAGATATACTCTAATACCTGTCACATGCATCAGACAGTGAACCAAACTGATGTTGCCGTTGCTGATTGAGTTGATGGTGCAATTCTGCCACCTTTTGCTTCAACCGGGCCACATCTGCCTCAGCAAGAGCAATCTCCTCAAGCTCAGCCCTTGTCTTCACATTCAGGAGAGCAGAATTAAGTAATTATTATGTCCAAGATAGAATGGCAAAGAAAGCACGTGACAGTTGTGAAGAAAGATGAATATGACTGACTGATCTAATGTACACACCTTGGAATCCATACCACGTGAACTAGAAAGTTGCCCAGAGGACATGCTTAAACCAACCTCTAATGCAGCTCTAAGATCTCTTTCAGCTTGCAGCTGCTCTTGTAATCTTTGTACCTGGCATTAAAAAGCTTGTGTGATTAACTAACACATTCTCTAAAAAACACTAAGAGACTACATAAAAATCGCATCAATACTGTTCCAAGGATGCAGATGAACACAGTTACTTCAGAAGGACCAATGAAACAATTTAATTAAATAACCAAATAGCAGAAGCAGGTGAGCCAATGATTCCAATTTACAAGTTGCCAAGTCACTATAGAGATTTTATATAGCATACAAATTTGAATAGTATCTATTTAGATCAATATTATAGACTTCAAAAGATTAAAGAGTGTGAATAGAGTGAGCATACATCTTGTTCAAGCGCTAAGCGTCGCTCATGCAGAGCTTGTTTCCTTCTCTCCAAACTCGCTTGTAATATTGCATTTCCCCTTGCCTGTCAGACATGAACATAAAATTGTTTCAGCAACTATTAATTATATTCATCAGGCAAAACTATTTCAACAAATTATCTTTCAATAAACCTCTTTTGCAATTCTGTGTCGCAGGTCATTCTTTGTAATTTCAAGCCTCTGGATGGCAAGTCTGAAAAAAAAAAAAAAAAAAAAACAGTCAAAATTGAATCAAAGGGGAAAAAAAAAT